ATGTCTGATATACTATACATGAACATGGTTGGTGCACTTAGATACATTGCAGACTGTATACAGCCAGATATAGCATTTACAACAAATCAGTTAGCAAAATACCTTAATGACCCTGGTATGGAGCATTATCTAGCACTTAAACATTGTTACATGTACTTAAAAACTATGAGCAATGTCTGGCTCCAACTCAGCAGCACAAATCAATCAATATTGAACAGCTATACAGATGCAGACAGTATGATGCAAGAAGGGCATTGTGCAATATCAGGATATGCATTTTACTTGAGCAATTCATTAGTTTCATGGTCAAGTAAAAAACAAACACTGGTGGCAAATTCAACGTATGAAGCTGAATTAATAGCTCTTACAAGAGGAACACAGGAAGCAATCACACTTACACATTTAGCTGAAGAGATTCTGCAGGTCTCTGATGCACCAATTAATATCTATTACAATAACAATGCTGTTATACAAACAGTTACATTAGACAAACTCAAATATTCAGAACAAACAAAGCATTTAGATCATAAGAAAGATTTTATTAAATGCTACATTGAGTTAGAGTACATAAATGCAAAATACATACAGACAAACAATCAACAAGCAGATATATTAACTAAAGTGCTACATGTACCACAAGTCAAACATCTTACCAGTTTACTCAGACTAGTAAGAGTTTGAAGGGGAGTATTATGACATGATTAGTTCATCAACGGACGAACCACAAGACAATGACTTCATAATGTCTCAGTTAGAATACATACAATATAAGGACGAGAGACACTGAGCAGTCAATTGTCACCTCACCCCTTGTCTATGCATGCCCCCCTTAAGTTCTCCCTCTCAACAGACTTTCTCTCTGTAATTTTGAATAACTGATTGTACTTAGAACCTGTACTTTGTAATTAAAATAAAAGATGAAAAGAGGTGCCATATACACTGCAAGATCGAGTGAGCTCCAAGACCATTTTTAATAATCCAACTACAACATCCGTGTGATTTTTTCAACCAGATCCACGTGATCTTTGTGTTTTGATCCAACGTCAAACTCCGAACTACAACACTAAAATGCTCATGGATCTATGACTTTGAAATTGCAATTGGGCTGGGAAACAGGCCCCTTGACAGTGCTTGTTGTCACTTAACCATTGTTTCCCTTGTTCAACTTGAACTGAGTGAAGTAGACTGGCCATTATGAATGCTCTCCTGGAAGAGTTGCTCTGCAACGAATTTAGAGCACGATACTGGGCTCTTATTAGCAAGGTCACATCTGCAGTTCATGGACACGTTGATATTAACCAGTTGACCTTGCTGGGCGATAAATTAGATATGTTCATGTCACGGTTTGATGAAGTGAGTCATCAGTCAAATAAGCTGTCTAGATTGGACTTGATACATTATGGACAGAATCGTACCGTTTTCGAGGAGTTTGAACAGGGAATGCTGTATGACAACCTTTTGCGAATACAAACAGACCTTCGACTACAATACCAGGAAGCTATCGAATATTCACATCATGGTGCTCCGTCACTCGTTCATACTGTTTATACTGGGGGACAAGGAAGGCCGCGTCTCTTGATTGATGAAGGATTCCTCCGGAGAGCCTATAGTATGGCGTCAACTGAAGCAACAGCAAGATTTTTACGTGTAGGCAGGAGCGTTGTACGGAATAGACTGCTAGAGCTGGGCATTGCTGAAAGGCAGGAGAACCCCTTCCAGAATGAGTCCGAAGTGACATTCTACACGCATCCAGTGACTGCTATAACTGATGAAGAACTCGATGGATTGGTTCAGGATATTAGGAGTCGTTATGAGAACCAGGGTGTTAGTATGCTTCGGGGAACGTTAATGTCCAGAGGATATATTATTCCAAAGGAACGAATTTGCCTTGCATTACAACACTTGTATCCAGGCCGATTGTTTTCACGACCAACAGTGGAGCGGCGGACATATCAATCACCTGGGCCTAATGCAGTCTGGCACCACAATGGCTGAATAGTGAGCTCATAAACCTTTCTGTACTAAACGTTAACTCACTCAGTCTATACAGGTCTTAAAGAATATGATATATATATACATTGTTTTATAGACGGATATGCCGGGTACATCACAGCTCTTCGTGCATCCGACAACAATAGAGGAGAGACTGTACTACAGTTGTTCCTTAGTGCTGTACGTCAATACAGAATTCCAGTTCGTCTACAGGGAGGCCATGGAGTTGAAAATATACTGGTTGCTACATGAATGGAACAATTTAGTGGGACTGGAGAGAGAGCTTATATTTGGGGCAGGTAAGTTATTGTAATATTAAACATCTCTGTCTGATTTTAAGACTTTGTAGATCAGTGCATGACATACGAATTGGACGATTGTGGCGTGACGTAACCACTCAAGTTGGCTCAAAATGGAAAGCTGCTTTCAAAAAGCTAGAGCAGTTCAGTAGCCTTGATATATACAACAAAAATCATATTTGGTTGCTTCACAAACTGTTTCTGCCTACTATAAACCAGGAATTGGACAAATTCACCGAATCATGGAACAATCATGTGATACGACTTAGAGGCTCTAGGAACCGTTCACTAAGAGAAATGTATTTCTTTAATATGCTGGCTTTAGGAGAGTGTGGTAATCCACTCCTGGAGGACAATCCAGATAGTTTTGACTGTACAAGTGATGTTGGGACAGAGTCATCAGAAGAGTATACTGGGGAATCTGATACTAATTCTAATGATGTGGATGACAACAATAATGGTGAGCAGAATGAGGTAGGCAAATCTGGCCTGGAAAATAGACCACCCTTGGAGGTACCTGAACAGTCTATTGAGGAGGCACTTATTGTAGCATTAGACTCACACTTAGCATCTCTCACTATTCAATTTGATGAGGACTATATTTCTACCATGTGGTTTGATGCACTTACTTTTCTCCAAGCCCAGACTCAAGACTTTTGAGTATTTCTGACTTAGAGCTTTAAAATGTATTAGAATTAGGTATATATCTTCTTGCTATAGAGTATCTTATTCATATTAATACACATGAATGAGTTCTTCATAAGTGGTTCTAGAAGAATAAACACTATAATAGAGTGCTAGCAGGCATTGGTAGATGACAACATAGTAGGATTCAAAAAGTACAAACATCAAACAGTTTGTAGTAGTAAACTCAAACTGACTACCAAAGTGTAACATTACACTAACCTAATCATACCTAATCAAGTATTTGGATTGTGAGGAAAGAACTTACTTATACCAGGAGCAAGCTGTTCAAGTGTTTGAATGTCGATCAAAGCCTGCTGCATATGACCATTGGAAGTATTTGTATAAGGCGACTGTAGCTTACTCCTAAGCCAGTTCTTCCGGCGTTCCCATTCGTGAAAACCCCTCCTAGCCAGCTCGTGTGCAATTTTTGCATCGTCACATGTATTCCAAAGGAAGAATTCGAGTTTTTCGTCCCAAGCACGAAGATAGTAAGGGTACACTTTCCTCAAACGTGCGAGCTCCTCGTCTTGTGCAATGGTTGCAACGTTAAGCATTACAGGCCACACATCCATCTCCCTGAGTCGTGCGTAACCGCCTGGAAGTGCTTGGAGCACTTCTAGTTCGTCAATTGCATCAGGGGGGGAGAAGGGAAAGTAATCTCCAGAACGTAAGTGAGCCGGCCACAGTGCAACTGTACATAGATCTTGTAGAAGGTATTGGAAGAGCGAAATAGGGAGGACAGCTGTTCCGTCCCAATCGAGAAAGCCCGTGACTTTACCATCTTTCCGCATTATGTTGCGAACTGACATGTCCCCATGACAAATGGAAAGCCAGTTTGGTGAGCGTATCGAACAGGACTGTATAAATGCATTGACAAGGCCAGCGATGTTATCGAAGTCATCCGGTTTCTTTCTGCCATGATATGCCTGGCATTCCGTTTGAAAACATTGCATCCAATACGTGCGAATATCGTCTACAGCATCAAAGGTTGGAGCTGTGCGAGTAGAATTGGCGAGATGTCTTGGTCGAACTTGAACAAATGGCCCAACTTTATATGCTGAGGCAGAGGAGAAGTTTTTCACAATTCCATTAACAGCATCATCGGAGAAGAATAGGCACCCGCATTTCGAAAATGGAAGAGGCTTTGCAAGAGCAGCATGATACTTTGCAACCTCAAACAGTACAAGTCGCCTCTCGTCCGGCCTTAAATCCTCCCAACAATTGTACAGCGATTGACCCATCACCCGTTCCATAATAATATATGGTGTCCGCACCGGATTATCAGCTGTGCCGTTCCATGCATAGACAATAGGGGTTGGAACCTGCAGATAGAGGCGCACAAAGGTCATTGTTGCAACCTGAGATTCAATGGCTCTCGGCTCTAATGGGCAGTCGTGGAAAGGAACTCGAGCGACCATCTCCAGACCATTCGTAAACGTGAACAGAATTGCAACATTATACCCGCCATAGCCTAAAAGATGAATAGTAGGCACTGTCGGGACATTTGCAATGTTGGCACACGCGAACGCAAGAGCCTTCAAGTCAATATCGCCCAGTCCTCTCTCTCTAATCTCATCGTCCTGACCTGCGAGTAGCTCCTCTGCAAGAGGGAAATTAACTGTTGAACACAATTATTAAGTTCTTGCTAAGCTTCACAAAGCGTAATTCCAATACCGTTTCCGAATGTCTTCCACGGTTCAGACAGCTGTTGTGGTCTAGTTGGGCACATAGACAGGAACCTAACGAATCGAATTTCACATGAACTAACGGTTACAGACGGTAGCTGTAATGGACGGGAACTACACCTACCTTTGTTGTAAACTAGCAAGGTTGCCGTCATGATTTCTCTGATCTTCTTGTAGGTTTCTGTGGGAAGGAACATTAACTGAGTTGATAAACATAGTCAAAGAACTCCTTACCTAGCCATATAGCAATTGGTTGAATCGTTCAGTGGGAGCATCTTCGACGATTTGCTAACTATGAAGTGGAAGTGGAAGTGGAAGTTAACAACGGAGCAGCGCGGAGGTGAAATATCCGCTCACACGTGTAAAGCTGACTATTGGAAGGTTCTAGGGTGAAATCTTTGAGGTACCAGTGCTTACTAACAACATAAGATTAGAAGCTTCTTCGAGTGTCTAGGTGCATGGTCAACAAACCAGGGTATCTCCTAAGACTTCGATGTCAATTCAAGAGAGGACTGGCACACCGCAAGTTCTCAGCAGAGCTATTCAAAGTCTTTAATAAGGCAGAGACTTTACGTATCAGGATTGGACTGGGGTTCCGACTTACTATTGTAGAGTTGATAACGACAAGGGTACAGGGTTTATATTTATAGAGCTTGACAGCACGTGACAAACGGGTTGTACAGATACACACATGGGGCTAGGGACTGGCGCGGATAGCTCTAACCGCGGATCCGCACCGCGGTTAAGATTCTCGCGGATATGCTAACCGCGGTTAAGATTCCCACGGCTACCGCAGATTTCGCGGTAGCCGCATTATTGCAGTAGAAAAAAAATAAACCAACTACTTTCATTCATTCTGTTAATTCAACTACACAAAAAATCAAAAAAAATGTCTCAAATCAATTCACCAACATCTCCTCACTCTCATTTCATCCAAAATTACAATATGTCTCGAGTGCCAGTTGGCATCATTTCATCACCCACACTGGCATCATTCATAGATGCTACAGCTGCTTCTATCACGGGAGAAGCTCTGCCTGTACAGCTTTCCGCACCAAAAACCCGGAGAAGAGTGAAGACTTCTATATATGATCAGACGGATGATCAAGTTTGGGTTTTAAGTGATGAAGAGATTATTGGTGCATTATATACTTTATTTACCCAAGTATCACTGCTAATTATACTGTATTGAAGCTGCCAGTAGAGACAAATGGAAGTCACCAGCATATGACCATTACAATGTCTCTGTGCACCGGTTTAATCAGGCAGGCTTAAAGAAACTCTCCTTCATTTTCAAATGCCGGCTTGGAAATCCTCATCACACACCTTTGATGCGAGAACGGGTTAGGACAAGAGATGGAACAGCAAAACTGCTACATTCAGCTCGTCTCTGTGATTCCTCACTAGGTCTCTATGTCCCTCCTGAGGCTTGTGATACTGTATTGCCATATTCTAAGGCAATGCACCGGACTCTTATTGCACT